GAAGAAAAAAACATTGAAGAACCTACATAATTTGGAAATATTGATAAAGAAACTTGGTATAAGATGAAGAGGCAAGAGATTGATGGAAAAGAAAGCATAAGAAGGTATTCAAAAATAGAATTGATGGAGGTTTGGAAATGTGTGGGGCTGAATGAAATTCTTAGAATGTTACAAAACATTTGATTTTTGTTATTACTTAACTTTAGTTTGTATATTTTGGGTATTTTGATCTGATAAATATTTGTTTACATTGATTTTACTTTTTCATGATGCAGCCAAATTGGATGATAACCTACATATAAACTAATTGATGGAGCTAAGGAGTTTGCAAAATCTGACCGACTAAAGCATCTTAATCTGGTGTATGAAGTGATGCAGTGAAATGAAGATTGTTGATCGAATTGATAAAATATTTGCAAGAATTTAATGGTTAATGAATTTGGAGTCTTGTTCTCTTTGAATATTGGCTATATTTTCTATATTTTGATTAACATGTATGGTTGAATGTTTGGTAAATAATAGTGTTATGGTTTGAATGTTTAAAGATTGGTGAATATTTCACAAAACAATATTATGGTTGAACAATAGTTATGTTTTAAATGATAATACATGTATTTTTGTAGTTTATGTTGTGTAATGGTAGTAATATCTTTTATATATTAGACGAGTTTAAAATTAAAGTCTCTATGTAAAAAATTTCAGCAGAATAATATTGTATGTTTTATGTTATAATAAGTATACATACATATATATATATATATATATATATATATATATATATAATATTCTAATAGAATAATTTTATATATTGTTTGTTATCGTGAATTGATGTTTATGTCTTTTTTAGAATTTAAGTCACTATTCAAAGGAAATTTTATAAGTAGAGTGTATGATGGTCAAAATCATTAAAATGTTGTAGTTTATGATGTATGATGTTGATAATCTAATAAAATAAAGTTATAGATTTTTATAATCTATATGTAGAATATTTTAATAGAATAACATTCTGTGACATTCTAAGTTATATGCAAGATATTCTAATACAACAATGCCTAATTAAATTTTGGCTTTTTTAATAATCAATGATATGATATTAATCTAGTTATTAAAAATAATCAATATTTTTATAATGTCTTGTTAATATATATAATATTATGAAGTTATAATATTATGAAATTTAAGTGTACTATTCTAAAATTATGTTGTACTTGTATAATTGACTTACATTATGTAAGATTCTAATATTATATGTAATATTATGAAATATTCTGAATTTACAATTTATAGTGTTAAAGGAATATATAGAATAGTCTACAGAAAAAAATTAATTTATAGAAAAGAAAAGTTTATAATGTTAATATGTAATAATATGAAAGATTGTAATATGATGTAATATTATATTGTAAGATAAAATATTCTAATTCATACCATCATTCCCTTCAAGTGTGTAGGGAACCAAAAAATATGTAGGAACGTAGACTAATAAACTTTTTAAACCAATGAGAAACATATAAGTTTATAAAGTGAAATGAATACTTTTAGGATAAATATCAAACTTTTCTTTGGAAGTTGAAACGTATTCTAAAAACCTCATAGATTAAAAACCAAATTTCAAGTTTGTATTATAAAAAAATATATCACAAGGTTACAATATTTAATAATATGTTGTTAATTGATATGCAATATTATGAAATTGTATGGAATATTCCGATATTAAAGTGTAATATTCTAAATTTTGTTATAAAATATAATATGAACTTATATTACATAAGATTCTAATGTTATATTTAATATTCTGAATATACATAACATTCTAATAAAATAATTTAATTAGGTTGTCTATATTCAAGTTACAACTTAATATTCTTATAGAATAATGCTATAGGTTGTTTGTATATGTAGAACATTCTAAATAGAATGTAACACTAAATAATTATATGAACATCAAATATCAAACTAGAATGTAACAATATATATGTAAGAAAATTAAAAAAATGCACAGTTTATCTGCAAATACCAATGTAAAAGTAAAAACTTAGAATATATTATTAATTTGTTATCATTTTATTCAATTACCTCAAATACATCACTTGAAACCAAACAAGAAAAAAAATATAAGCAAATTTACAACACCTCACTACATAGAATGAGACTCTCCAGAAAATTATTATTGAGCCACATTCTCTACAGTTCCATTCAAGACTTACCTAAAAATTTGTAATGATAGAAAACATGAAAGTTTTAGCTAATTTCAAAATTATATGTACCACTTTACACCGTGACATGGGTTTGATGGGTATTAAGATATATATCTGCTGCAATAACAATGTTTAAAGTTGCACAAATGTAGAGAACAATTTCTTTAAGAGAGAAATAAAGAGAGTTCATAGAGTAAATTAAACCAACGTCCTCATAACAGATTCGATTCTAAAGATGAACCAAGTCCTCATCATCCATCAACTTCTTAGTTACTTTAACTCTATATGGACCAAACACCATTGAAACCAACATGTCAATATGTTTCTTGAAGTTCTCATCATTAATTAATGGTAGAAAGATATGGATGGTATGCTTCTTCTAACATATGCATTGAACATTTGCATCGATAACAGTTGTATGTCCTTCAATCACTGACAAAAAGAAGAAGTACACCAGCTATCACTAAGTTAAGAAAAATCATCTTGGAATTTTGGGGTCAATATCATTAAACAGTAAAGTTTAAGGGTGGGAAGGAAGGAGTGATATATCAGACTCTACATCAAACTCTTTATTCATTATCTTGGAATTTTGGGGTCAATATCATTAAACAGTAAAGTTTAAGGTTGGGAAGGAAGGAGTGATATATCAGACTCTACATCAAACTCTTTATTCATTCAAGACTTTCATCAAACAGGTAGAGTGCATGTATATTGTAAGAGAATTGGCTCAAGAACAACAATAGTTATGTACATACCTCATTGATTTTATAGAATGAGCACAAAATAACTCGAAGATACATTGTTTTTTCTTGCTTCTCATCATTTAACATGTGCTCAAATGCACAGAAAAAAACCAAAAGCTTGAAATTAATAATCGATGGCTGAAATCAAATACTTGAAATGATAATAGATTTAAGATGAAGTTAAATTGATAAAACACCTGACTTGAGAGTAAAACTCGAAGCATCAATCTAATGGAAATCGATATCAGCTGATGACTGATTACCAATATTGATGAATGGTTAAAAATCGTAGATTTGAAATTAAATTGAAGCTTGAAGTTGTTGATTATCATTATTTTAGTTACGATTCCATTAAATGAAGGGGACAACTTTCTATGAAGGATTGGTAAAACTTGGTTGCGATTGAGAAATCATCAAACGAAAAAGGGGGACGACTTCTCTATTACGATTAATGTCTTGGTAGAAGAATCAAGGCAAATAAGCTCGAAAAACACAAAAATTATAGATGTAGAAGAATGTAGAACATGATTCACCAAAGTCACTCAGATTATCAATTGTAGATGTAGAAGAATGAAGAACATGAACTCGAAAAACACAAAAATTACGACTTTAAAAGCTATGATTTAGCATTATTCGATCAATGTCAAACTCAAATCGATTATCAGTTGAAAGAATATAAAATTGGAGATAGAAAATCGACCTGATTGAATTGAAGAACAATGAATATTGATCCAACGAATATCTTGGTAGAAGAATCGAAGCAGTTGAGATAATTTCTTGATGGCGTGAAGACACTAACATTATATCAGATATGAATTTAACCTAGTGACTAATCTACCCTTAATTAACTAATCAGTCAGATTAATTAGTGTTAATCCGTTTTTCTTATGAGCCACAAGATTAGTTTTGATCGAAGGCTAAGATTTGATCCCCATGTCTCACAAAATATAAGTGGTCTCAAATGAACCTATATATATATATATATATATATATATATATATATATATATATATATATATATATATATATATATATATATATATATATATATATATATATATATATATGGGCGTAGCTACATACACTTAAGGTAGGTCCTAGGACCTACCTTTTTTCTTTTTTAATACAAAAATTCTATATAAAAAAACATAAGGAACTACCTTATTTTTGCCAAAAGACCTACATTTTCATATTTTTTTTTCCATTTCATTTATATAAGGAACCACATTGATTTTGGTTCTAGATTCGTCACTATATATATATATATATATATATATATATATATATATATATATATATATATATATATATATATATATATATATATATATATATATATACAAGTAGGTTCGTACGAAAACATAAATATCTTGCGAAAACGCGAAAACAGATTTTATCTTATAAAAACCAAACACAAGTACTATAAAAATTAAATTTATTAGCAATAAATTAAATATAATAAGTTTACATTTGATTGTGTTATGATAATATAGATTTAAAGACGGTTTCATCAACTATTTGTTTTTTCACATCCTTGACCACTTTTAAATTCATGTTTTATAATAAAAATGTCAAAAATCATGCTTTGCTAATATAAAACAATTTCTTATGTATAATCGATTATCATCATGTAGTTCAAAGTTTGGATGGATTATTGTCCAAAATATAAGGTTGAGGTGACACAATATCATAGTTTTTTCTTGTTTTCACGTTTTCGCAAATTATTTGCATTTTCGCATGAACCCTCCTATATATATATATATATATATATATATATATATATATATATATATATATATATATATATATATATATATATATATATATATATATATATATATATATATATATATATATGTGTGATTGAGAGTTTTTTTTTTTTTTTTTTGCACCAACCATAAACATGCGGAAGTCTCTTTTATGCTCCTTTTAAAGCATGAGCACCTTCTTGCTTTTCCACAAAAGCGAATAAATATCTCATGTGACGGCATTCTTCTTTCTTGTCATTCATTACCATTAAATTATCGTTAGTTGCTTTTGTGGGTATAGAGTTCTTTCTATGCTCATCCCTCTTTGGTTAGTGTTAGTTATCGTCTGGTAACAATATTTCGTTTTCTTTTAAGTTCCTTTTGTTTCAAAATTTCCGACAATATCAAGCCTTCTAGGTATATTTCCTTGAAAATACAAATGGAAGGATACCCTAAACTGAATAAGGTGATGATCAAAGAAGCTTGTGAGAAGACAAGGCTTGAACTAAGGCTATCTCCTCCAGGAGATGGCCGTTACTCCATTGGTACAACTCATCCCACTAATAGTTCATCAAACACACTCATGTTTAAAAGCTCGAGTAAAAGGTATCCCCTAATCTATTCAGAAAACTTTTTTGGGGATCTTTATTTCATATCATTCACGTACTTTCACATGATCATATAATTATATCATGCACAATTTACATTAGTTTATATGAAATTTTGTATATCGATTGTTCGTAGTTTCTTACTTTCTTTCTTTTCTAAATTCTTGAAACCCGGTATTGAGGAATGAAGTTTTATTATCCATCCCCTTAGTGATAGGGGTGGCACACCGGCACCCAAGTATTAGTTTGGATTCAATATATTTAAGTTGTATTCGAAAAGTTTAAATTGCCTAAATATCTCCTTTTTCATTTTGTGGGTAGTTGTTTCATTTCTAAATATAATTCATAAGCATTTCTCTCATAGCATATAAATAAATTCTAGAAAAACCGAAAAGTTTAAGTGTCAAAAAAGATAGATACCGTCAAAAGATATATATATATATATATATATATATATATATATATATATATATATATATATATATATATATATATATATAGGGTTAGGTTCATTTGAGACCACCTATATTTTGTGAGACCGTGAAATGCATTTTTTGATTTTTTTTTTTCCTATTTTTTTTTAGTTAATTCATGTTCCGAAAATAATATTTAAAAAAAGAATTTTTTGATTTTTCCATTTATTTTGCATTTTAAAATTATTTTTAGAATATGTACAGTGTAATATTCTATTTAGAATATTTCACGTATTTTTCAAAAAAAATAGAATTTATTTTATTTTTTTTTTATTTTTTTTAGTTAATTCAAGTTCCGAAAATAATATTTAAAATTTTTTTTTTAGATTTTTCCATTTATTTTGTATTTTAAAATTATTTTTTAGAATATGTCAGTGTAATATTCTATTTAGAATATTTCACGTATTTTTTCAAAAAAAAAACGGAATTTTTTTTTTTTTTTTTTATTTTTTTTTTATTTTTTTATATTTTTTTAGTTAATTCAAGTTCCGAAAATAATATTTAAAAAAAGAATTTTTGGATTTTTCCATTTATTTTGCATTTTAAAATTATTTTTAGATTTGGTCTCACGGTCTCACAAAATTAGAATGGTTTCAAATGAACATATATATATATATATATATATATATATATATATATATATATATATATATATATATATATATATATATATATAGACAAAACTGCAAAAATGGTCCCTGTGATATGCATTTTTTTGAGGTTTTAGTCAAAAAGCATAACTTTTTTGGTTTCGTGGTCCTTTTGACATAGTTTCATTGTGTTTTTTGTCCCTCCGAATTGTGAAATGACTGTAATACTCTTGGGGTATTTATTTTCCATTTTTATTTCATTTCTTTTTAATATATAATACTATTTTATTTATTTTAATAATTAAACAAATAAGAATGGGACCCACCTCTCTCTCTCTCTCTCTCTCTCTCTCTCTCTCTCTCTCTCTCTCCACCGAGACTACTCCCAAGCTCCAAGTTCTTCTACTTGAATAAGATTTGAGTTATGAATAATACCTAATTACTTCCTTATCATAACCTATAAAAAGATTTTCCACCTCTAACAAAACCTAGACACTAACTTCATGTTCAAATTCAACACACACATGCTTACACCTGTAAAAATGGAACCCATATCGATGGTGATGGTGGTGACTTGCGATGTTTCAGTTTTTCATCTTCCCCATCTCTAGATTTCAGTTCCTATTTCAACATCCCATATGAGAGCCAATCTAATTTTAATTTTGATTTCAATGACAAGGAGGTGGTGTAGGGCTCTCGAAAAAAATTAAAGGCCCCTGAATCGGAGACGATGTATTTGATTTCTTACCACTACCACAATTAATTGACCATAAATCGATCCTAAACTTTCATCTTTGTTCAACCTCAATGTCGATTCAGCCAATACAATACCAACGGAGGAGAAGTCAAGGATAAGTTTGAATCTATAGCCAAGTCCATCTTGTTTCTTGAACAAGGATCAGAAACCTAGAAATCCTTTCAAAAACCTTGAAATTCTGTTAACCAAATACAAATAAATTATGTGCGTATTCGATTTCGAAAAATAAGAAGCAAACACTAGAGAAATAAAGGAACAAAGCTTGCTCCAGTGGTGGCTGAGAAATCTCGAGGAAGAGAGGGGCAACCGATCTCTGGCGAGCCCTCCTTGGTTCTTTTGCTTTGGCGCTAGTAGCAACACACGAAGGGGGAGGAGACGATCTTTAGGGGTGTTTGGGTGGTGTTGCTCGACCGGAGGATGAAGGAGAAGGAAGCTTCCGTGGTCGACAACCTCTTCCTCGATGGTGAAGAAAAACGAGAAGGCATGACTAAAGGAAGGAAGTGAGTGTGTGTGTGTGTGTGAGAGAGAGAGAGAGAGAGAGGGAGAGAGAGAGAGAGCGAGAGAGAAGACAGGTGGGTCCCATTTGATTTGATTTAACATTTATATTTAAATAAAAGAAAAAAATAATTAAGTAAATAGAAAAAACAAATCAAAAGGGCAAAGTCGTCTTTTCAAGTTTATTGGGGACCAGTTTTACAATAAATCTAACTCAAAATGACCACAAATCCAAAAAGTTTGTGGTTTGAACCAAAACCTAAAAAAAATACATACCATAGGAACTATTTTTGCAATTATATATATATATATATATATATATATATATATATATATATATATATATATATATATATATATATATATATATATATATATATTGGTTTTCAAATAAAAGGTTAAAAATCATTTTAAATGTTTTTATTAAAGACATTTTAGACAATTCAAAACATTAATTAATTTTAAATGTAACATATGTTCTCCACTTTTTTTTCTTTACAATCGGGTGCTGCAATAAATCAAAAGAAGATTAATGTTTTGACTTAATTGTTTTATGATTATACAAAAAATATAAAAATAAAATATTTATAATTTAAAATCATCAAGTAACATCTTTACTGCCGGATAAAAGCTTGAATTAAGTAGCTTTTAAAAATTCTCAAAAAAGAAAAATAGTTGTAGCCTTCTGTAAATATCAGCTTTCTTGAAACCTCATATCAATAGACATATCACATCATAAATTTTTAATTATTTATTTTTAAGATGTAATCAAAGAAGCAGTTTTCAAACAAATTTTTTTTCTTTTTATTTTGTACTTTCCCTTTACGTGAGGAAAAAAAAAAGTTGCTTATGTTTATTTCTTAAAAGCAAATTTAGAAACAATTGGTAATTCATGGTTTTACTAATTTGATACTTAAAACTCTGGTTTACTATTAAAATTAACTTCTTTTACAACAAAAACCATATTAGAAAATAGAAATAAGAATTTAGAATATTATTTAAACAATTAATTCATTCGTTCACAATTTAATATAAAAATTTATTCAACTAAGTGGTTGAATAAAAAAGTATAGAGCATGGAGATAGATATAGAGCGAGCACTAAGCTTTTGAGAGAAAAAAATAGTCAAGAGAAGATAGCTCAAGATTGGAAACCATCAAATGTAGACCATTTACATTTTTGCATGCTCTAAAAATCATATATAAATCATATATGGATAAAAAAAAATCCGAATTTACAACTTAATATACTATTTCGTTTATAATTCATAGTAAAATACTAGTTTATAAATCTATTCACAGTTTAATATACTAATTAATTCGTCTATAATTTACAGTTTAAAATAATAGTTTAGATGCTCATTCACAACTTAAAAGACATAAAAGATTAGTTTATAAATATATTCACATTTTAATATACTTAATATATTAGTTCAAATACATATTCACAAATTAACATATTTAATTCATTGAGGCATTTCATTAAACACATTTGTACATCTGATTTAATAATAATTCTATCTTATCATTATCATATGAGATCCAACCAAAGAAAAAATACACAAAGATGGTGGTGGTACCATTGTTGGCCAACTTGAAGTGTATAGTAACCACAAGATGTACAACTGAAATATATCAAACACATCAGATTTGATGTAGATATGATGGTGTATCACCAAATATCAAATAGAAGAGATGAAGGCTAGGTGACAGGGTGTCAACAGAGCAACGGGCGGCAGAAACGGCGACGATTAACGTTGTCATTGTTAGAGCTTCTCAGATACTTCAAATCTTCAAATCTATTGTAGTTTACTTTTTTTCACTAGAGATCACATAGAAAGAGATGTAGTCAAGCTCATCTTGATTCCCTAAAGTGAAAAGGAAGCAACTATGGTGACCGTTGACGACGATAATGGTATTTGATTGTTTTAGATCTCAAATATGTCACATCTAATGCAGATCTAGTCGTTTGTGGCCGAATATCATGAAGAAAGAGATGGAGAACAACTCATTGTGTTTCACCGGAGCAAAGAGGTAGCGGCGACGGTTGTCGATGTTGATGTTCGACAATGGAGTTTTTACTCCAGATCTGATATCAGTACGGGTCAACGGAGTATTTGAAGTGAAATACATTGACGACTTGACATTTCGACGAGTGTAGGTGGTAGGTAACGGCGGCTGTAGGCGGAAGGTGGCGGCGACAGGTAGCTGAATTAGTGTTAGGGTTTATCTTCTTGGGAGAGTTTGAGAAATTTTTCTTGCAAAAAAAGTTTGGAAGGTGTTTGAAATGTTATTAATTTTTTAGCTATTTATCAACATTTAAAAAAATCAAATAATAAAATTAATGGTACTTAGGGTTTTTATTATTTTAGGGTTCTTATTTGAACTTTTCTCTCTCTTTCTATCTCTCTCTCTCTCTCTCTCTCTCTCTATATATATATATATATATATATATATATATATATATATATATATACACACACACATAAGCTTATAACCTGTGGGAACCATAGGTATAAAATTAAAAAAACTTTCATATTAAAACTCAAAATTATTAATCAAATATTTTAAATAAATTATTAATTAAAATATCTTTTTTTAGTTATATAAAATTATAATTGTTGGTTTAAATAAATATGTGAAATTATATCATCTTATAATTTTTTATTTATTTTATTTTATTT